TATTGATATGATATATGAAGGTATATTTTGAACCTTATAAATGTATATTATACTATGGTTTATTGTGTCATAGTATTTAATTAAATTTATTACAATTATACCACATAAATACAAATTTTTGAAAACCCGTTTATATTTACAAATAAACTTCAATCAGAAACAATGTTCAAATTCTAATTAATTTCAYTGTAACTCATTCGATTTTGACTTTGATTTTTTAACTATTTTTTTTTTTTTTGCATATTTTGATCTTTAACCATATGTATACTTATTAATCAATCCATTAATCTACCTAGACTGTTTATCTTATGATTTATGATTTATGATTTGTAAATGCTAGGACTACAATGGTTTAAAGCAACTACATTTTGTACTTATTTCGACATTTATTTTATTAAGATCAATCGGTAAAAGCACAAAACTCCAACTTTGCCGGTCATTTAATCAATCTTTTCCCGGAACTCTTACTTTTACCATAGCACATAATATTATAATTTATATGTCGTTACAACAGTTGGCAATGGTCTTGTCTGGTTTTCCGTCCCACATTAATGGGACACTAAAGTTTCTCGTCTTACACCATAGACGCAGACGATTTTCACGAAAAACGAGTTTTCCCGTTAATCGAAAGACAAAATCGACGCGATGTGCACGTCCAGTCAGCCACAGCCATCGTATATCACACGAATTGATAATATTGTTATTTGCAGATTTCGTCTTTATAWTGTGCTAAAGCACTGTAGACGTTTTTCTAGCCGAGATCATAATATGAGATATTATCTCGGTGTCGGTGCTATACTAAACTGCAATATTATATTGCCCGTTACTCGATAATATTACATCGTCCAAACAGTCGTTTTCAAGTCTGAGCAGTATTATAATAATAATATAGTCTATAAACCGTATCCACCATAGATCGAGTTTGTCGTTAGCGTTCGTAATCACCGTAAAGTTTAATTTTATATAATGTCAAGTTCTATTATATAATATACGTATTATTAATAATATAAATAATACCTAACTGCAGGATAGATAATACGTAGGAATGGGTAGGATTATTGTTAAATTTTATTTATATAAGATCACGTCCACAATACATACGTATTATTAACAATAATAGGTCAGTGTTTGTCTAGCCACTTTAGGGCCTAGGAAGGAAATTTGTTTAAGGGCTCAGCCTAGGGTATGTCGTTATCAAATCATAATAATATCTAATTACCTAATCATACAGCAATTTCAAATTATAATTTAAGTTTTATATTGTTATATTTATTGGCTATCAAGCTTTGTAAAGCAAGAACATCATTCATAATATATAATATATATCAACGAATACATCGTTAATTTAAAGTTAATTCAAATCTTTTTTTTAATTTACAACTATACATCCCTATATAGGTCTTTTCAAACATTATCTTTGAAATAAATATATCTATACCATAATCATCTTAATTAAAATTTAATTAAAAGTCTTGACATATCATCTCTAGAAGAATTCACTTTATCTACAGTTAGTAAAAAGTAAAATAGGCTCTATAAAATTTTGATTTCAATTCAACGACGGAAGAGTACTTTCTTCTTTTCTTCTGTATGAAAAACCTCGTGTTGTGTGTTCCAATAAATATGATTCAAGTTGATCGATTGTTTTAAAATTTCTTTGCTAGCTTCAACTTCTTTGGTGCGTTAAGACACAACATTCCGATTTATAATAGTACTGATATCATTATTAGAATTCAAGCGTAACGGGGCTAAGCAGCATTTTCATCAGTTTAAGACCTTTCACGTGATGGTAAAAACCTTTATGTTTGTTTATACACACTTAAATGAYCCGTTAAAATTTTCAATTTTTGAGTAAAACGTATTAAGATATCACACAACTTAATCAATAGGTAAATACGTCGTGTTTCGATACATAGGCGTGGGAAAGGTAGGCTATAGCCCACCCTGCGAGTCGTACTTTATTTGTTGTATATATTGTGACATGATACATTTTTATCATGAACCTTTAATAATAAAATAATAAATTACAATTTTCAATGATAGTAGATAATTAATTAAATATATTGAAAAGTTGTAAAATTGAATTGATAAAATATCTTAAAGTATCTCTTTAAGTATCTAAATCATAATTGGTTTGGCCCACCTTGCCAAAAAGGTCTGCGCACGCCTAAATTTCGATGTTATATGATAGGTAAAATACATGCATTGTTAGTCTGTCACCATTCGATTACTTATAATTATTTTAATATTTTAATTATTTGTATATTAGTGCTTATAATATTTTATGTCGTATAATTATTATGTATCTAATCTAATGTATTATGGTTAAAAAAAAACAATAGGGGTACAAGCAGCTATATCTAGATAGCTGTGTTGTTCAGGCTGACACTGATTGAACGTGATAAATAATATGCTTGAGAATTCTGGTGAATATTTTTACCAGTTGACAAACCTCTCACTATACTCGTAACTTTCTATTTCGATTTGACATGTTATCATAATATTGTAAAAGCAAAAATTATCAACACACGTATTTCACTATACATGGTATATCTGGAGATACCCTTTTCTGGCCCAAAATCGAGTAGTAAATGAAACACATTAGTTATAAATAATAATATTGATTAATATTAATGATAATATTAGTTTCACAAATAAAATAATAATAATATTCTAAAACCCATAAAATATGTTTGGTATTTGTAAAAAATACTGGTTGATAGGAATAAATCATTTTTTTATTCTGTTATTAATTATTGTGGAAAAACCAAATCGTTCACCCCATAACACACCGATGATTGTTCTTTCAAACTACACTTTTAGACTTAATATTTTTAACCAAAAATTAATTCATGACAGTTATTGAAAACAAATCGAACATTAATCATGCCTTTAAATAGCTAACATAAAAAAGAGTAAAAATACTCAAAAAATATTAAAAACTTCAAGTATCCACCACAATTATTTTATGAATTATCAAAAAATAAGAAACCGATTTTGTCGAAATAACTCTGTTTTGTGTAAAAATGTCTATTTTCCCATAATTATTTTTGTGTTTCTGAATTTATTATTTAGAGTATTGTGAATTTTTACTTATGTACTGCAAAAGACAAAATTAGATTCATTTTCCTAAAAAAAATACCTAAGTTAAAAATCAAAACCTTTTTTTTCTGCTATAAAAAGTTCTTAAGATTTCTCAAAAAAATATCATTTTTAAATCAGTACATTATTCACTCAGCTCAAAATCTAAAAACTGAAGACCAATAAGTTAACTGCAATTTAATTATTAAAAATAAAATAAAAAGTAGACAATTTAATTWATTTATTTTTTGTTTTTATTGTGGAAGTGTTATTTCCTTGAGTAATGTTATAGTTAAAAAATTTTAAGTACATACCTTAATCAGTTATATTTATCTACCTAAAATTCACGAACAGTTCCATTTCTGATAGAATCACAATATAATACAATAACCGAATTATTTATTTAAATTTGATTATTTGGTCATATTTTGCTGGGGCCACGATTTTGATAGGACGTACTACAAGCAACCGAGAAACGTGTCGATTTTTAACTCGCTCAAATATTCGAAATATGTCTATATTTGAAAACTGGTGCAACGTATTTAACGCGTGTAAATTAGAATATGAGTACAAATGTGCTCATCGCTATTTTTCTGTTTATCAAAGCTCAAAGAAAAATGCTTCTTTTAATTGACAAAGTTTTACTGCGAATTCGAACAATATGTGCATATATTATTATTTTACGATTCTAAGAYGTATAATAACTTTTAATGAGATATCTCATCGAATCGAAATAASGAACKACTCTGGCAAACACTTTCTGCGTTGGTTTTTGTCAGGAGACAGCACAGAGCACAGAGAAATATCAAAAACAAAAAAATCTAACGTATTCGTGTTTATAATTTTTATTTTTACTCTAATGTATTACCATAATATAATATCTACAGAGGCGTGTGAAATAATTTTACGCATCAAACTTTTCGATTGTATTCATGCTGTTTATCAAAAGTGAAATTGTTTTCCGATTTGTTTCTAAAGTAAATAAAATTTAAGGCCGAATAAACAACGAGTATAGCGCTTGTTTTCCATAATATTAGTTGAACAAACTAAATAATGGTTTTGTTCAACTCATAAAATATTTTCATTATTTCAAGATCCATGCTAATAAGAAAAAATATTTTTTTTTTCCATTTTGTTTTTAATGATTGTGAAACTACGATTTTAAATTTAATATTTTTAACTTATTAATAATTATCAATTATTACAACAAAATTACATATAATTCATTTTATACAATTTTTTTTTAAACACACAATGTTCARCTTAACATCGTAATATAATTATTTTAATAAATTACCGTATCAATTTTAACAATACTTAAAACACAATTGAGTATTTAGAAACATTATAATATTAACTCAGTAAAGTTATTGTTTTAGATGGTTATTTGAAATTATTTTGAATTACGCTTGTAATTATTTAATGCCTACTTGTTATGCGACTTTTTAACGGTTGATACGTACATATACATATACCTATATATATATATACATAATATGAAATACATAGATACATGCACGTATAATCATTAAAGTTTCATGTGTATTAAAATATTTTTTTCTTTTTTTAATTTAACTCGTGCGAAACGCTAACCCTCTGAATATTTTATTATGATTTTTTTTAATATTTATTATTATTGTGATTTTTTTTAGGTGGGTTGCTGACGACAACTGGAGTCCCTGTAGCAAAACATGTGGAGGCGGAATAAGGGTACGACACGTTTATTGTGTGGAAGAAACAAATGGCACTAGAACAAAGGTAATGAGAATTGAATTAAAAATCAAATTAAAATGGTAATATAATTACGAATGGTTTCAATGCAGTGGTTTTTTGTTTATTATTTCGGCTCGAATGTTAAAGCAAGTCGCGAAAATCTCGTCGGTAATTAAACGTTTTTCACAGTTTCTGAACATGAGTACATGACGTATTATGTACATTATACACAAATTATAAGACTCATACGCATAGTRATTTCAGCTCTAAATTGACCGATTGGTTTTAATGCCCAATAGAAAACGAATTTATCATAGGGACACAGGGTAGATTTTTCTGACTAAAAACATTGACATTGGATAATCTCCGTTAAAGACCGTTTAACTAATACGTTGAGCRCCAATAATCTACCAAAAAGACTGGCATTGTTTAATCCCTAACGAAAAATATTATGAAAACGACAGTTTTGCAGCCAATTTGTAATATGCTTGATAAAATTGCTTATTGTTTATTTTTTTCTGTTATACAAATTAGATTTAAAAAAGTACAATGGTAATAATAATAAAAAAAATTTTGAACAAGAATATAATATTTCGAAGAATAAATAATGGGTAGTAAACAATTTCAAAAAAGTAATTTTAAAGGTGTTCCGAATTTAAATTATTCACTTCATATTACCTTCAAATTAAGAAATATTGAAATACATAAATTACGACGAAAATATTCATAACTATTATTTTTCAAATGATTATTAAATACTTAATACATAATCATAATATCGTATATAATTATAAGGTATTACCGAAAATATTAATTCATCATTATCGATATATTTGTCATCTTACTTAGACATTAATTTTTACACAGCAAACCAATTAAACTTTTTAATTTATTTAATTAGTAAATTCATAGGATTAAAAAAAATATATTATAAGGTTAACGAAAAAAAAAATAGTTAATAATCTATAATAAATTGTATGGTTTTCATTTTCATATAGCTGAGTATATAAAAAATAAAATTATTTACCTGCAAATTTATTAAATTATTAATTTTGTGTATTATAAATTATTACATCTTTTTTAAATTTTTTTATATCTTAGTTTTTTGAATAGTTATTTGTTTTGTAATACACAAAGCGTAGAAAGCTGCTTTGAATTAATATGCTTACCTACCTATTGTTTTAACCAAACATTGGTTCAATGAAAATGTAACCCCAACCTAAGAAAAACTAAACGACGCCCTTGCATTAGATTAAGTTAGCTTAATTAATATTTGTAAATATATAATTGAAGTATCGCGACTAGTGATTTAAAATGTGATCCACTTAATTTTTTACTATAAATGATTTGTTGAGAAGATGATTTTTTTTTAATAAAAATGTACTTAGTAATTTCTGAGTAATAATTCAGTTATTAAAGTTAATTAAAACTTTAGAATACCAAAAATTAGTTTTCTTAATAATTGGTTTAGAAGATAATTTGGGTAGCTATCGTGTTGTTTAATTTATGTTATTCACTATYAAACATTTGCAATTGCAAAAATTGTCCATGTTTATTTAATTGTATAATACAGTTACCTAGGAAAGTACTAAGATAAATATTACATCAGAATATCAAGTATAGTGACATCGATGAAATAATAATAATACATTTGTAATAATTTACTATTGTTAATATTCTATAATATTGTGTTACACTCATCACGATGATATCTCGACGATATGAATGCAGAACACAATATACATATATATGTATGTATATATGTATATATATATTATATTGTCATCAATCCGAATACATAATTTCGCTGTCATTTACAACAATAGATACGTCCTGCTTAGTATAAATTTTATTATATACAGTGTACACATCCGAAACCAATAAAGTTTCATTAATATTCATAATAATAATAATATTCGAATAATAAGACGTATAAATAATAACATGTGTAATAACAAATAATAAATCTTCGTTAAACTAGATATGCGGGTTGAATGTAATAGCAATTATTATGAATAAGTAGCACTTGACATTAATACTTAATAATATAATTAGATAATTAAATAACATAATATTCGCACTGTACCTACGCGTACTTACATACATCTCCCACCATTTTATGGAAGAAAAGTCGTCGTTTCAGTCGTAGTAATAATAATTTAACGGATTTCCTGCACTGAGCTAATTTCAAAATAAGCTATTGAAGTGTATAGTGTCATCCCATCATAATATTATAAATTCTTCTTAAGATTAATTTACACGGTTATTTTGATGATGTAGTATCTACTATTAAAATGTTTACAATATATTACTATAAATCATAAAATATATAATAGTACTTATAACCTATAAATATGATTTTGTAATGATTCTGCGTTACAACAATGTACTATTATAATAGTAACTAACCATTTAACGGGTGTCTACGAAAATGTTTAATATATAATATCAATGTCTTTACGTTAAGATAATGTAGTCGGTACTTCCAAAGATGATAATTTCAGTAGAATATAATATTACTACCGGGTGATGTGGCCTTATGCCAATATTTTAATAGGTTTTTTGTTATTTTTTATTAAAAACGTCTTTCTAGCAACAATATTCTAAACATCGCTACTGAATATTTTCATGCAAAAGGTACAATATATTCCTATACAGGGTTATTCACCAAGCAAGGTCACGCAAGTGTTTTCTTTTAATAGGTAATGAATTTATTTAAATTCTGTTTTTTTATATAAAAAAAATAATATAAATATTAACATCATATCCATATCATCAAATATCTTAATACCTATAGATACTATTTAAGAAGTATCTTGTGCTGATACAAACTGGTTTTCAAATATGGATTTTTTATATAAATTGTTAATTGAATTTTTTTTTTTGGAAATTTGGTATCTAAATAGAAATTTGAACGAATAGTTTTGAGTTGTATGACGTTTTTGTATTAAGAAAAATAAGCCCATGATAATSTGTTTGGGTTATAATAATATGGGCAAATATTAATCTAAAACTTTAAATGATGTATATATTTTAAAATTTGTTAAAATTGTCTGAATATAAATAATACTAGATTCTATGTTGCATAATATATTTCATATTATTTTTAAATCATTTTTAAAGACTATAATCCATAGTGGGTAGATACATTTCAACAAAAGAAACTAAACTAGATAGTTTTTAGCAAAAACTGTTGATTTTTATTTAAAGAAGATAAGTTTTTAAAGCGACACAGAACACTTAAATGGTAGGTATAAAAATTGAAATATTTAAAAATGATGGCTCTTAAGACATATAGGTATTTTATTAGAATTCTTTAGTAAAATTCAGATAAATTTATTGTTAAAGAAAAAAATTGAGCTGAGTATATTTGATGAATCGCCAATAATATTATAACATTTTTACTGTACRAAATAGAACAGCTGCAATAATAAATAGTTATTGAAAAAGTAAACGGTGGTTCTGTATTATTGTAATCGTAATCGRTTCGTTTTAGGAATGTTATACATTTTAATATTATAATAATGTTCGTGTCTGCGACGATTGACGTCACCGATGTTTGATACGAAATATTTCAAATTCCAAGCGAGTTAATCGAGTTGAGCGTTCGAATTTCGTTGGCAATGACTTTCACAGAAGCACTTGTATTATTATTTACGAACGTTATATTTATATTTTTATCCAAAAATGTGTACTCGAAATATGAATGCCGATCGAAAATCGACTATAATATAAACAAGTTTTCGCAAGTTTTCGTGACAAACGGAAACACTGTATAATATATTAAATAACCATTATAATGCATAATATGCATTTTAGATTTATAAATCAAAAACCGAAAATCACCGAAGACGTTATCATTACAAACCGTGGTACTACCTAGAGTGGTGGCGACGATGACTTCAGACATTATCAAATCAAATTTTTCTACGTTTACTAATGTAACTGCTACGATGATATTCTGTTGTTTTCTCAGCCTTGAATAGCAAAAATAATATAATGAATAATGATTATGGTAACCCGGCGTCTCAGATAGGCAAAACAGGTACACCACTGCCTCGAATCCATTTTCTTAGGCCAATGTGTTGGTGTGTAACAGTGTATTCTTCGTTACTATATATTATCTTTTTACGTACTACTCATACAAAATATAATGAAATGATTATTTTATGATTTTAATGATTATAGCTTTTTGAAAGGAAATACTCTACGAATGAATATCACTGATGCATAATTGTTTTGTTGGTTTAAATGTGTGGTATGCTGAGTTTTATTAAAATTATATATCGAAAACGTTTTAATTCGAAAAAAATAATATGTATGTGTGATTAAAACGAATAATGGAAAGAAAACAATTTAAAGTATCATAATATAACATCAAATGAAAATATGACTGATCAAAACATAACAATATCATTAAAATATTTATATTTTTTTAACGCATTACTATATATAACTAAAAATAAAATATTTTTGTTTATTGTATACTATGTTAATATAATATAATAATATTGTATATATACATATCATTTAAGATAAACTAATTTTATTTCCATATATAGATGGTGAAAATTGATGCTAAGTATATAATTCATGTTTATGTTTATGTTTAAAATTATATTATTTGGAAATTCTTCGTTGAAAAAACTCAATGGCTAATAAATAATGGTGATTAGGTATTAATCAATTGATAAAATTTAATGAATACGTATTTAAATTAAAATCAGTGGAAAATTGTGATTGTTAGTAATTAGGGATTAGAATTGATGGAAAGATTAAATGAAATGGTACTTATTAAAAGAACGTAACAATATAACGAAGTTAAAATAATCATAATATTAAAGATTAAATTCGAAAGCAAAGTAACTAGAAAATTTTGAAAACTTAAATACAAAATTTAAATAACATTTAAATTCATTTAAATAACGTTAAACGTAAAAGTACAAAACATTTTAATTCTCAATAACATTAAAATAAAATGTTTTTTCCAAATCCGAGTATTGATCAAAATACGGTATACGTATAACTATTTGAATTGGCATATA